ATTTAATCTAAAAGTAGATTATAAAAAAGTAAACAGAAAAGAAAGCGTTAGTTTTAGGGTTAATAGATTAATTATAATAGTTTTCTCTGTTCTCTAATTTTTACTATAAATAATCATTTGCTTTTAGAAGCATTCATTTCGACTTTAGCAATTTTGCCATAATAATAATAAAAAAATACTAATGGGATTAAATAAAATAAAGCAGATGGAAAATTCAAACATTGAAATCAACTAATGTTAATAATATTATTAGCAGAGCACTTCTTCTATTGTAAAATCAGATGACGGATATGCCTTGTTCATAAAATTTCTTGAGCTGGGATCGATTTCACTTTCTAATTGCTTGTAATATATTCTCTTATTTAATATTTTCAGTAATATTTTTAGTGTATTTATTTTAACTATTTTTATTATTAGCATCTGATGGTAGACTGTAATAGCATTACATACTAATGACTCATATAAAAATAAAAAAAACTATAAATCTAAATATTTGTTTCCAAGAAAAACTTACAAACACGAGTAATACAAGAAACATGCTTTAAAATAATGACGTACCCATAACGCCTAATCTATAATTCAAAGTAACCAATATTACATCTTTCTGCACGATATAATCGGGACCATACATAGTAGCATCACCAGAACCTGTACTATAGGCACCGCCGTGTATCCATACCATTACCGGACGCTTTTTTGAGAGTTCGATTTTCGTGGTGTACACATTTAAATAGAGGCAATCTTCATCTCCTGTAATTTTCTCTCTTAAATCCATTTGAATCGCCTTGTTTCCATACTCCGATGCATCTCTATAACCGACCCATGGTTCTGGTGGTACCGGATCCTAGATATGTAAAATATGTAAAAAATATGATCATAAATTTATAATATTATGTGTGTGTGTGTGTATGTGTGTATGTGTGTGTGTGTGTATATATATAATATGTTTTGCTAACGAAGTATTTGCTATTAACTAATTTTCATTACAGAACATTTGTTTTTTCTTTTTATCGAAAATATTCTCACAAAAATTTTAACACATTTACTTTTAAAAGAAATATATATTTAAATCATGTAGAGTTTATCCTACCATAATTAATTTGTCAACGTTTTAAAAAAAATTAGATTCTTTTTTCTTTTCCATTTTAATTTTAAAAACTCAGCTAAAGTTTGTCTTCCTATTATTATTGAAAAATTAATTATATTGCACTAATATTTACCTTAAATCTGAGTTCGCCAACTGGAGGTTTAGCATATGGTATTCCACGAAAAGCAAGGTAACGAACATTATAACCATCTACAACCACGCCGATCAATTTTCCTTCATTTACTTGTACTTTTAATTCTTCTATACTTATACATTTAATACTTATAATAAATAAACTGAAAAAATAAATAGAACAATATTAATAAATAAGAACAATATTAAAAAATCAACTAATCTTTGTTATAATATTTATAAAGTAAACGTTCCAATGACCGAAGATGTATCTATGTTTGGACATTTATACAAAATTTTATTTTAATGTAATAGAATCTGAAAATTTTGTCTCATAAGGATTACGGCTGTATTAAATAAAAAAATAACACGTTTGAAGTTTTAAGCACTAATAATAAATAAGAACTCGCCAAATTTACTGATGAATTATAAAAAAAATTTTATTATTAACGAACATTTTGTGTTACTATCCTTTTGATTTATTTTTAATTTAAAAGTAAATCTTTGCAACTAACTGACTTTTAATGTTTTGCGACATAATTTGTAAACAATTTTTCGAAATTTGTATTTGTTGTTTTTATGTACTGGAGAAGGCCTGATCAAAGCCGAAATGTTTATAATTATTATTGTTTATACAACAACAGGATTATTATGTAAAATATAGAACAAGGAAAAAAAATTATCTCACTATCAAGAACTTGCATCGTGGCATATGCTCTTTGCTTTATTCATTTGAAAATTTTATTTATTTATATGATTATTAATCTCAAATGTTTTTTAAAATAACTTTTAAATACAATTAAAATACAATATATATTGTAACAGAAAAACATTTGAAATTAATAATAATAAGTTTTGTGTAAGTATCTGGCATACATGTCCAGTCATTGGGACGTTTGCCTTATGTTATGTATATTTGATTTAAATATAATATGTACTGACATAAATTGATTTGAATTTCCATTTTTATGTTACATGTACATATAGTACATGTATTACAACAGACTTTAACTAATAATATCGATTGAAGCAAAATCTTTGAAACTATGAAACAGTCGCCACTGTAAATTCTATTATTTTATCTCTAATGTTATTTTAGTTTTTTAAAGTCATAGTGTAATGCACAATTTTATTTCAAAGAAACGCGATTAAAAGCTGTTTATTTAATAAGTAAGATGTTACGAATATTCTCGTTGTTTTATTAGATAGATAATTGACTAAATAAGAATATTACATAAACAGCTTTATTGTTTTTTTTTATTCTTTATTATAGCATTGAAAGCTATTAATTAAAATGTTATTTCTTGAACTGAATAGAATATGTTAATCGCTTCCTCAGTATAGATATAATCTTCATGCCGTATAATTCAGCAAAATATGATTGTGTAACAGGCTTTATTTTGAAATATGTGTTCTTATACTCACGCCGGGATCGCCAATTGCAGCAGCATTTTGTAGCGTCTTACCGTTGTCACTAAATCTATTAAGAATATTACAAAAAAAAATTGTGAAAAGATTTTATATTTATCTCTGCATTTGAATAGTTTTGTAATAAAGTTTTTACTAATTAACTTTTCTCACAAGACACTAACATTAAGATGACTTGCTCATCTCAATTCTCTAGAGAGAACTGACGCGATTTTCAAATATGTGTATTTTCCTTATTTTCGTTTGAGTATATAAATATTTAGACATGTGTAGCGAAAGGAACAGTATTTACAAATAATTTTCGTTCTCTTCTTGTTGTGTTAAACACCTTATATTTTCCTCTCTTTAATTAGAAGATAGCATTATCTAATTAGTTTCATGATAGAACTATGTAATATTCTTATCTTGTTAATCTATTTAATAATAATATCCATATATATAATATGCTTATCGTATTAACATAATTTTTATAGAACAAATATATGAATAAAAGTACGTATATAGATGCATATGATATAAGACAATTGGATTTTTCAATATATTTTTAATATAAATAACATTTTTACGATATAAAACATATTTTTTTTTATTTTAAGGAGTCTTTATTTTAGAGATACAAAAATTTGATTTTTTATATTTATTATATTTATATTTTTTTGAACAAAGCAAAAATCGTTGAAATAATAAACTTTGTGACTTTTAATAAAAAATGTTGTTTAATATTTATATCATTTCTCTCTCTCTCTCTCTCTCTCTCTCTCTCTCTCTCTCTCAATCAATCAAAATTAACATTATTATTAAATTAACATTAAACTAATAACCTTTACACACATATATCGTTTCAATGCATAACGTTATAATGATTTTCAGTAAAATAAATGTCACTAAAATAAAAAGCATACATAAATGTCAGTTTATCATGTAACATTTATCCATAACTTTTGATGTATAACATATTTTATCGATTCTTATTAATAAATTTTTATTTCATAAATTGTTATATTGATGGATATGATGTTTACATCTTAATGAAATAGAAATTGTAGTCATTTTTAAGTTAGCGCAGCGAAATAATCGGCGAAATAATTGTAAAAAAGAAGCAACAATATTTTTTTAGAGTATTGACTTAATATGCTTTTTTTAGAAGTAAATATACAAGAAATATTAACAATGTCATTACATTTATTAATGTGTGATATACATACTTGAAAAGGACTAACCCATATTTCTGAAGACTTGGTAGACTATGCAGACTGCGTAATACAGATCGATGAGGAACGTCAAACTCTGAACATTGATGTGAGATTATATAGACTATTGTCCGGGAAATATACTGCAAGTTCTCTGAACTTTTCCGGCGCCGTGGACGGAGAGAAGACGTTGGGGGAAGTCTTTAGTGAGTAATCCAAGCATAACACACAAGTTACGATAACGTCAAAATAAAATGATTGGAAATGATTGGAAACATTAATTAAACATAATCCCTCCGCAAATAAGTTGTCAATCATCTGACCATCATATTTTCGAATAACAATTACTTTTTTTTTCTTTTATAGATTCAAAAATCCTTTTCCAGGATTAAAATATACGCATTACATGCCTGTGAGGTGGACTACCGAAAACGTAAAAAAAATTTTAAAATTAAAATCTTTATCATTTTTTAATCCAATATATAAAGCTATATAGCTACATTTGCTTCATATAAATGTTGTGCAATCTGTACTTACTGTGAAATAGTCCACAGATTAATAGTTTGGACGAACAAATAACACAGAATTCTTGGAATTGGATTTAGATGTCTGATTAAAATGTTATTGTTTTACGAAAATTTATATATATGTGTGCGTGACATATTGATAGAGTAGTACGTAGTAATGTATGAATGACGCATAAATTGTCTGTGCAAGTCTTACTTACACTATAATTAATTACCTTTAAGATCCTCTTAATTTTTTTATTCATGCATGCAAGGAAACAAGTTATGAAGTAATGCATCATAAACACATAAATTATACATATCAGTATGCCGCGCTCAATGAACATTAAACAATGAACATATTCTAGCATCAAAATGTCGATTATGTAACTTTTTCTCTAGAATAAAAATGTGAAAATTTTTATGTATGTGTGTAAGTACATATACAAAAAATGTTCACTTTTCATCTTCCTGTCGTAGAAAAAAGTTACATGATTGATCCTCAGAATAAGTATGTATACATGTGCATGTATACTTACTATTCAAGAAATCGAACATTGTGTAATTCCAGCTTAAATAGTCATTTTTTCAATAAAGATTAAAAGTTGATGCTAAAAGACAAATTAAATTTTAACAGAAGTCTTTAGCAGAGATAGAGAAAGAGAGAGAGAAAGAGAGAAAGAAAGAGAGAGAGAGAGAGAGAGAACGCATTAGAACGTTTTTTTATGACTTTCCCAATTCCAACGTTCCTTTCCTTTACGAAAGATTTTCATTTGTAGATTTATATCAATATTTAGGTAATTGTAGTCTTCGTTTTGTGGACCGGTTAATGGTAACCATAAATTTGTCGTAGGCGTTGGATTTCTAAAAATCGATTTGAATTAATTATTAATCGATTTGAATTAATTATTAATTGATTTGAATTAATTATTATGTCTGAAAATGTTTTCTACAAAACAAAGAAAAAATTCTTGTACCCTGTTTTAGCAAAATCTGTCCACATTTGCGTAAAGTAATTTATCATCACATAGTCATCCGTACCAGGTTTGGGTAGCGACAAGTTCATTGCTTTCGCAACTTCTGGGCAAAATAAGAAAAATAACTCCTCTCCGTGGGATACTCCTGCAAAATATTTTTATATTAGAAAATTGTTCTAGAATTGCAGACTCATTCGTTTTAAATTTTTTCCTTTTTTTTAATTTTTAAGTTTTCTAAATTTTTAAATTACATTGACGTTTTTGTTAAATAACATGTCATTGCTTTATGTAATTATTACAAATCAAACAAAGTTGAATGTAATAATTGAACATAAAAATCCAGAAGCATCGCTGAATAAAAACGTATTTGTATTAATTAGCAATTATATTATACCTGGAAGTCCGAAACGTTGTATTTTTTTCATAAGAGAAGTTTCGCTCTCATAATCGAAATGATATAGATACGTTGATTTATAACTGCCAGAAGACTTTTGCAGTTCACATACATTCATTATATCGCGTGTCAACAATTCGTCTCCTAAGAAATACGCATAATTGATCAAAGTTTCTTCTGA